GCTGCTCGGCTCTCCCGAGGACAAACGACATCTCCCTGTGTGGAGACAGCAAGCGGTCCTCCCGAGAGCGCAGAATGACCTTCGGTTTTGGTGCCTCTAAGCAATCCCAGCCCCAGCAGCGCTGGCGTGCTCCCGGTGTACTGCACAAACTCGTTTGGCTTAATTTCATTTTTAACTTGATGCCTAATGAGTCTGTGGCAGTCACCTACGTTTTCATGGAGATATCGCAGCTGTAAAGGAGAAAATCTGTTTCATACAGCCAAAAAAATCAAGAATGAACAGTCAGGCTATTCACATAAAGGAACTAAAGTACCTCCTGTTGTCTCCCAGACATGACCCTTAAACATGAGGCAGGCTAAAAATAAAGCTGTGGCTAGGAAAAAGCAGCAAAGTCGCTCCACATTCCTAGAAGCTTCTCACATTCACATCTCCACCTTGGGACTCTTGCAATGGCCGAAACATTTCCTGAAACATCAGGCCATTTCGAGATGAAGCAAACATCCTCACTCAGCAGATGCGTTTGGGTAACGTTAGCATTTTTAAATTATCCAGAATAGTAAAACAACGTATTTGAACAAAAAAAAGCCAACACCTAGTCATTAGAGTCATTGCAAAAATAATCTGAACCTGTCCATAGTATTAAAGGCCAAGATACAACTGGTTTTATGTACCATTTAGCATCTCCCTTGTGGAGAACTCAAGGATTTGTGCATCTGGATTTCATCTGCACCCAAATGAGACCGTGAATGTGATGTTTTAGCTTGAGCTGGCTGCAGCTGGTAACAATGTGTTTGGATACTGCCACTCTCTCTCAGAAATATTTAAAGGGGTGTGTGAGTGTGTGCATACTGTTAAAAAAGATAATCAATGACTTAACAGCTAAGGTTAAACTTGAGTCATTCTCTTGCCCAAAGAGACAGCTTTATTAGCCAGCACAGAGGATTATTTATTCACAATTAAATAAAAAATACACAGTTTGAAGATAAGTGGCTTATCATTTCGCCAAAGGCCTCTTACAGCACTCAAGGCACGCTGTCAGAGCGAGCCAAGAAATGTCCTGTGTCTGTCTGCAGCGGGCAGGCACTGAGCAGCAGTGCCGGCACAATTGGCATCAAAACATGCTGATAGTCGAGTAAGAGGGATTTATGATTTTTCTTTACATGCAAAATTTGGCCATCTCAACTGCTAGATACCAATGTAAGAGATTTCCTTCCCATCTCTAGACTAACAGCTAAAGCTGTCATTTCCCAAAACAGACCACGCCAAGGGAGAGGTTTCACTAGCAGAGGGAGGTTATAACTAGGTCAGATATCCCTAGTTAATGTTCACGCGCAGAGCAAAGAGCAAACCTGCTATCTGTCATCCGTAACATTATTTACAAATACCATGGTGGCAAAAGCAGCCTATATCTCTCTTACCCCCTGTCATATTCCTCTGTTACAAATAGCAACACGGAGGTCACCCCTTTCCTCCTCAAGAGGAGTGTTCAACCAAGATTTTAGGATTCATTATGTAAGACAGGAACAAACAGCACGGTGTTACAGAACGGAGACAGATATATTGGCAGTTGCGTTTTCTTGGGCAAGTCAGCTGTCACTTCTGAGGACTGCCTTCACAGAGAAATTAAAGTAGCAATTACATTTAGTTAAACCAATCTGAAACATCCATAGGAAGACTTTGGTCACCTGATGTAAGCTTAATACGCTGAAATGAATAAATGTCCTCCTGTGCTGCGGGTGTGACCCCGATCATCCAGCCGCCGGCTCTCCTACGGACGCGGGTACTCGCCACCCTCCAGACAGACCCTCCGCACGGTGGGAGGGGGCTGCGGCGCTGCACCCATCCGATCGCTCAGGTCGGTGTCTCCTATTTCGGATTTGTTGCTTCAAAAAACACAAGCCAGCACATGCTGTCACCTGTATGCCAAACCAGGGAGGACGGCAGGCATCAGCAGAGAGCCCGCTGAGAGCTGTAGGACCTAACGTCAGAGTCACAGAAAGGGCAGAAACAGGCAAACGGTCACACACAGGCTAACATTCCCATTTCGTCCCAAGCAAACACATGCTTCCCTGTTGGCAAAGGCGAGAGACCTTCAGGGAGCAATGAGCGAGAACCAAGCTACGGACCGCAGCAGTCACAACCCTCCCAGCTCTGGTACCTCTGCAGGGACGGGACGTTTCACAGCAGGGAAAGGGCAGACCTGCATTAGCTCTACTCCAGGGAGCACATAGCCTGGAGCATCGACGGCTGGAACAATGGAGTCCTGAAAAGGCCCAGGGCCAGAGCTGCTAAAATGAGGAGCGGGCTCGGCCCGTCCATGTGAAAGGACCTGCCAGCATGATGAACTTGCAAAGGTTTGTTTCCCTGCGCCAGGATGAGCTGTTGCCCCCACAGCTGAGCTGCTGTCAGGAGCAAACGCTCACC